GCAAAAACTACAGCTTACATAATCAGCCACTTCGTAATCGTAAAATATGTTTTCCATTCTGTCAAATTTCGTGTCTGAATTTGAAAACTAAATAATAATATTTACATATACACATTGACACCCTGTTTGATTCAGTTGTTTCTGTGGCTCCTTTTTCTAATTCTCTAAAGTGTTATGAAAAGTTTCAAAACTGACAGAACTACGACTCTTCGGAGCACAGGAATGGCCCATTTAACAGTTGCAGGTAGAAACGTGGCTGGAGTTGAAAACGCTTTGATGCAACCCTTTCTGTTTTATTATGTTAATCACGTTTTTCTTATGCTAACTGGTATTTTTGAAGCAAAATTTCCATAAGAAAACGAAGGAATAAAAACCAGGTGAAGAGAAGTCTCACGTTCATTCAAACGCTAGGATACTATGCCCAAAATTGTATAATGGTCTGTTGTGATTATTTGATTCTTAAATTGGAAATTGTGACCTTTACAAGTTTCTCTTTATCTTGTTGAATGAGCTGTAAAAGAAAAGTGTAATCTAACCCTCGGACGTAAAAGAGGGGGTGGTTACCACCCCCTCTGAGTTATTTTTTATTTCTTTTTTTTCCTAGACGATAAAACATCAGCACCTGACGTTTTCAGTAGCTGTTTGTTTATCCCTGGTGCGCATTTTGAGACAAGTTTAGTGATGGTCAGTTACTATGGTTACGAGATCTGACATCATAAGTAGCAGGTGGTCTAGCCATTTTTAGTGGAAATGTATGTTTTTCTCAACCTTTTTTCAGCAATAAAAGTAAACCTTGTGGATGAAGTGATACAAAGTGATTATTTATATGTTATTTTACATGTCAGGCACACAAAAATTACCATTTATCGCGATTTTAACCTGATTTCTAATTCTTGGAAAAATTAAAGATGGCGAGCATTGTTGGTGACGTCACAGGCCTCCAGCAGCGCTACCACCCATAGAATATACCTCATCTTGTAGAGAAAATCAAAGGCTTTCCACTAAAGGCAAAAAGTCGTTTCGAAATACTGCAACATATTAAAAACTCTGGGGAGGGGTTCCATCAACCTGCCCCCCCCCCCTGTCCCCTTCTACCACGGTGGGAATATGGATTTGCGTGTGCGTTCGAGGGTTAAGAACTTTCACTGGATCACAAGTACCCATGATCACTATTGACAACCATGCAATTTGCAAACAGAGAAATAGATTTGTGTATTAGGACTTACAGGCACGTTTCTTAAAGGATTCAAATCTATTGCCGGCAAGCCAACCTCTAGCTTTTGGCCCTGTTCGTTACCTGTTTTCCTGATTCGGTCCTTTTTTGGCCAGAATTCTTCCTCTTATATCCACCTTGCCTGAGCTTACAAACTTAAACAAGAAACAGATCACTAACATAGCTGTAATAATCACAAGTGCATGACTGTTCGTCACAGGTTTCTTCATTAAAGACAAACCTAATCAACAACATCCAGCAGTTCACTGTTGTTTTCATATGTCAGGAAAATCTCAGACGATCGGGGATTTTACTTTTTGTAGTCCATCCCAGATTTTGCCGATATAGCGGATAATCGCCGAGAAGTCTGTCTCAGGTTCTCCCGATTATGAATTTGGCGGGAAATGGAAAGTGTGCCAAAAATTGAAATTTGAACACAAATGTAACAGCATTACAGCAACATGGATGCACTCGAGCTTATGCTACGTCGTTCTCAATACATCTGTGTTCTTGCACTAGTCAATGCAAGGTTTTCCATTCTGAAAAAAAAACAGAAGCCAACCAAACGAAGAACGAAGAGGTTTTGGATTAGAGAATATTTGAAAAAAACGGGAGAAATATGGTCAGTTCCACATACTGTCTTTCGAGTTAAGCCTATCAGATCAGACAGAGAGTACTTCTTTCGATATATCAGGATGAGTCCAAAACGAAATCGTAGATACCCCGATCGTCTGGGATGGACAGGGACAAATCTGGAGAATTGGGCGCGTTTCTATTTTCCCGACGCGTCCCAGATTTCTGCGATGGTCGGCGATCATTCCCGAGAGATGAGAACTCAAATTTGTACCGTCGGGACGTCGGCGATGGATTTCGCTCATTACCAATCCCCAAAATTGCTGGGCTCCAGTCCCCCTATCACAAATAAACATGGCGTCTCTCGAGAATCCGGGACAGACTTCTGGCGATTATCCGACATATCGGCAAAATCTGGGATGGTCGGCAAAAAGTAAAATCCCCTATCGTCTGGGATTTTCCCGACATATGAAAACCAGGGATTAGAAAATGACAATACTTATCAAGTTATAGCCAAATATGCCCATCTAATGTTTCAAAAAAGAAAACAGATCTTGAACCAAAAGATCTAATTAATTAGTTGATTAACTGATATTATTATTCATTCAAAATATTTCCCCAATTTTGATTGGCTAAAAGCACGCGCATAATTCACCATAACGAGTTAAACATGACCAAATCTGGAAGAATTTTGTGTTTAACGAGGAAGCGCTATGAATAATTAGTATTAATTGCGCTATATAAATGAATTATATTATTATTATTGTTATTATTATTATTAATATTATTTTTATGTGACGTCAAAAATGCAGCCCGCTACAGGTTAAGGCACCGTTAACCGAGAAGACCTGGGGACGAGGTTGAGTTGTTTTGGTTGTGAAAAAAAATGGCGGACATTTCGCCCGTTTCAAGAGTAAGAACTACAGCTGGAATTCGACGAAATAATTGCTAAAAACATGGCAAAACAGCAAGAAGACAACTCGGAGGGTGACATCCGCTATTTATAGAATATTTGCGGAGCTGGACAAACTTAAAGGTACGCTATCGAAGATGAACTTAACATCTATCCAGGTAAGCATGTTTTAGCTCTGTTTTTAAACTACGAAATATTTTGAATGAATAATAAAGCAATTAATGAATTCGGCTTTCGTGGGATATCAAGAATTAAGCAGATCTCGGAGGGTGTTATCCGCCGAGGCCGAAGACCGAGGTGGATAACACCCTCCGAGATCTGCTTAATTCTTCATATCCTACGAAAGCTGAATTCATTAATTGCTAAGTATATTTATTATCGTAAGAGCGTATACCGTATAATTTTGTGGTTTCTGTTCATGTTTTAGACAATTTGTTCTGGTAGTATGTATACTATACTATTGCTGGTTTTCAGTGTCACGCCATCCAAAATAGATCAAAATAAAAACCAAAACCATTCGACAGATAAAGTCCAGAATCTGGGAAATGAAAGGAGGTAAATATACATAGACCCTCGCCAAGATTTGGGTCGAAGGAATAACTCGTATACGAGATATCCGCGGAAATGTTTTACCCAAATCTACAGAGCTTTGTATGGAGACGCCATGCTGATTTTCATCTGGATGAGCTCCAACATGGCGGACGGAAACCAACAGAAACATCTGTTACCGAGTTTTGCTACAAAAGCGTGAATTTACTCCTAGAGGAACTCATAAATATTAAAGTAATACTTTTTCTAACACTTGAACTGTTTAGATAGCAAAATTTCTCGAAAAAGTCACTTTTTTTATCCTAAATGACAGCTCTTTCGAGTCCGGTCGTCATGTAAATGCTGCGTCACGCAAAAGCTTAGAAATTCAAGCGTACTCTATTACAAAACCAAGCACTCTTTTGAAGCGAAAATTTGTTTGAAAATTAGTTTTGAGCTGCTCTAATACACCATGAAAATAAAATCTCAGTGGGATCGATAGTTTTGTAGTTTGACGTCATGTTGATGTTTGACGTCATGTGAAAACCAACAATACTATACCATACCATACCATACCATACCATACCATACCATACCATACCATACCATACTATACTATACTATACTATACTATATTATTAAAAACTGAATCATTTGATAATGCAATTCTAGCGTTTTGATTGGCTTATCCTTTATGGTATATGAGCCATTATACCATGCTCTACATATATGGTCGGTGTACGCGTTAGTTTAAAATTGGAAGCTAGCTGAGATTTTTTTTCGTGAACGATAGAATGGCGCCCGAATACTAGAAAATGTAATTTCATCGGGAAAAACAAACAAACAAAAAAGCCACAAGAGCTTGTTTAAAAGTTTATCGAAAAACGCATGAAAATACATGGAACTAAAGTACCTTTACCAGCTACGAAAGAAGACAAGTGTTGTTTCTTCATGATCGCGAGGCCACTCGCCGAGTCTCTCGCCGATAGATAACTGGGGCTTGTTTATCCGACATGAAGAATATAAATCACAAGCAACCAGCTGCAAATACAGGCTATGCAGCCATTCACTACAGCAATCGAGGCGTCAGTATAGCTTCTTTTCTCGTTCAGCAAGACCAGCTGGTGGCTTCAAACAACTTCATAACAAGCGACCGAGGTAACAGTTTTTCTCTGTTATTCTTACTTTTGTAACTGCACCGAAAATCCAAATTAGCAGTAATTTAGACGGCTGTCACTTAAAAATTCTTTTTCTTCACATTATCAGCCAGCTTTTATTAACTGTCCCGCTGTGTAAAATCCTAGAATCCCGATGAGTTGTCGCTACAATGTTTTGATTTTTCATTCATCCAGTCCGCGCGTTGACGCGTTGACAGTTTTGATAGACGTGTGACATATGAAGAGCGGAAGGCCCTTCCGGTTTGTTCTAACAAAATTAAGTCGGGGAGATTCAATGAGATTTTGTGGGCGTTTTTAATAAACAATTATTCCACTCGCGCTTGTTGGATATGAGATGGTCATAGCCGACTAGGCGCTACGCGCCTCTTTGGCTATCCACTAGGGAGTTTACGATCCAGATAATCCAGAAGACGACGCCGTCTGTCCTGGTGGCCGCGTCGCGCCTGGGCACTTGTATGTAAATGGTGTTACGATCATTCATTTCAGGCAGCGGCTATGACTCGTTTTGGCAGGAAAATTTTGGCTGAAACCTTGCTCACCAAACATCGATTCGATACAAGCAAGCATGTTCTGAAAAAATTATAAGTAATAAATTATGCCAAACTTAAGAGAGACCAGGATTTCCCTTCTCTATACGTATGATTCGAGCATTATTAATGATGAAGAATTCGTCTTGCTGTACGATATCAACACTGCAAAAAGCTCTGACTTGCCCTACTGGAATTACGAGGCCTTTGAACCCGACAGCATGTCCGGCGATGAGTGTCAAGCGGAATTTCGCTTTTATAAGAACGATGTCTATGACTTAATGGCGGTCTTGGGTTTTCCAGAGACATTTACGTGCTACAATGGCTTGACGGTAGATGGTACCCAGGCTCTTTGCATCTTTTTAAAAATATTTGCGTACCCTTGCCGTTATCTCGATATGATTCCGAGCAGGGCGGATAAAGGTTGGGCGGTGAAACGAACGTGTCCGAGCAAAAAGGTGTGATGCAATGGACTGGGACTATGTTAGAAATGTCGCTTGTTTTCGACTTCGGTCAGGGCTTGCGATGTGGTTTGTACATTAGACACTGCCGCTGTCACTGAATTTAGCGGCTTGATTTGTTTTCTTGCACTTCTTCCTCGTTCCTTTGTACTGGTACGCTGTCTCCCAGAGGCAAATGTTGCTATTTTTTGCGGGAGGTTTAGTTGGAGTAGACAAACATCTCTTTCAAAGGGTTTCTTTTATTACTTCCATGACTCTACCACTGAATTATATTTTCGTTCTGCTACTCGCCAATGTCGATGTTATTCCAAAACAAAAACAACTAAGTACTGTCTAAAACACGAAGGAAAATCTCGTCCATGTCATCCATGGCAAAACTAAAAGACAGCAGATTGTTTTTCATAACTAGATGACGTGTATTTTATAAATGGGTGCAGCTCGTGCAAGGTGAAATTATGCTAATTTCAATCACCATCATCCTTCTTTTTAATTTTGAAAAAAAAAACATCTCATACGTCTTTCTGTTTCTTCGAAACTTCAAAATTAGTTTCCCCTCAGTTTTTACTGTTTACCTTGGTTTTTATTAGAGAGAAAAACGGAGAAAAAAACTTACAACTGACCTCAATAAATTTTGTTTACATGCGGTTGCCGGATTTGCAACGCATTGCGCGAATCGCCATAGCGCGGCCCGAGAAGCAAAGTTTGAAGAAATATAACGCCACTATATCAATATATATCAATCTAATTTTTTGTTATGTTATACAAAATTTATCCGTCTTTAACATATGTAAAAATTGAGGTTAAGAAGTGTTAAGCTTTTGCAAAGGAAACGGCGAAAGACGATGAGGTGATATTTAGTGGAAGGAGGAGGTATTCAACACTTTCAAATTAAACTCAAACTTTGGCATTATACGACCAACAAGTTTGACTTATAGACGCACAGACACAAACATATGAAACTGTTTATTGATATTGTTATGAAACGAATTTACCTATTTAACATTGTAGCCTGAATTTACAGAAAGAAAATATGATTTCCTGTTTGCAAAAAGGAAAATTTCGCCGGCCTTCAAGCGCGCCGGAAGAGCGGAAATAGCGCTCGTGCCAGTCCTACTCCGCATCACACATTAAATGAAGAGCGGAGCGCTCGTTTTACCGCCCAACCTTTATCCGCCCTGATTCGGAGGTTTGCTAGGCCCGTGCCTCAGCTCTGTATGACAAGTACCATGGTTATGGACTATTTATATACGCACTGGAGTCATTTGCTAACCTCGCTAAATCAGCCTTGGCTTTCGCCTGATAATTTGGAGACATTCGCTATTAATGCTACTTTTCAAGCTGGAGGGAGCTTTGCAGAATTGTTTTGGATTTGTCGATGGAACGGTCAGACCTGTTTCCCGACTCGGCAAAAATCAAAGAGTACTGTATAACGGACACAAAAAAGTTCACGCCATAAAATTTCAATCCGTTTCTGTTCCAAATTGTCTGGTAGCCAATTTGTATTGACCGGTAGAGGGTAAACGACACGATAGTTCAATGCTAGCGGAGTCTAGTTTATATAATCAACTGGTATTATATTCTAGGGCCACAAAAGGAGACCCATTATGTTTATATGGTGATCCTGCGTACCCTCATCGTCCGCAGTTGCAAAGTCCTTTTAAAGGAGCAAGGCTTACTTAGAACGAGATGAACTGGAATAGTGCCATGAGTAGTGTGAGGGTATCAGTTGAATGGGTTTTCAAGGACATCATTAATTACTGTAAATTCTCAGATTTTAAAAAGAATTTAAAAGTACAACTCAGTGCAGCAGGAAAAATGTACATTGCTTGCTCTTTACTTCACAAAGCTAGGTGCTGCTTATATGGTTCAACAACTTCCAAATATTTTGAAGTCCAACCACCAACACTACAAGAATACTTTTTGTAAACAGGTGACACTCTTATATCATAGCTCCCAGTTCTGTCGATAATTCAGTGCTTTACATATGATTTATTGTACTACACTTCAATAAAACCAGGTTACCTTTTGAGTCGTAACCTCTTTATCTGGTGTTTGAAGTCAGGAAATAAATGGGTAGGATAGCCTCCAGTATTAGGATAAAATTATTAACGATTTTGTTATTATAAACATATACAAAGGTAACATTGGCAGTGAAATATTGAAATGCACACATTCTTATGAAAACGTGGCTATGTTAGATATCAGGATCCTCTCACAACATAATCAGACTAACACCATTCCTTGAAAAGTCATGGCAATCTTAACAGTCAAAGCTATATACGCTTTTTCTGAACGTTCATAACAGTTTAGAGTTGTCAGGCATGGTTATTTCATTTAAATCACAAGTACAACCTGCTGTTTCAATACTTCTTATTAATTCCAACTTAAAGTACACTGGATTTCAATGATTCATTGAAATGACTTGCATTGTGCATGACGGGGAAAAAGTGTTAGGCTGGCAAGTAATCCGTGCCCCCCGCTCCCCCCCCCAGTTGCAATGTACATGTATACAAAAACACAAATAAACCAAAAAAACCGGTTTGGAATAAAAACTGAAGTCATCATGGTGTGTTCCCCGCACAGTGCGAAGGTAAGAAAATAGTGGTCAGTGCAGTTTAGTAGTTCATGGCACTTATATTGTTATTGAGCAACTGATGACCGAAAAATCCTGCCAGAGCATCTCTGCCAGAGAACCTTCCCAATCCCATATCTTGCTCACCTTGAGCAAGCCTGTCACCTGATTCAAAGAAATAGTGCATATTTTTATGGAAAATAAATGTAATTATACTAAACAAAAAGTGGATTAACATGATGGTGATCAATTTCATGCTTTTCTGTGCTCAATTAAAGGGGTTCCAAGATACCTTTAGGCTTTTGCGCACTTTTAGGTGTAGTTATGATACTTGAATATGGCCTCTTGAAGGAGGGTCTCAATGGGGTGGTGGCTTTTACGGTTATCGGCTAAAATTTTGGCTCTTTTACGGCTATCGGTTAATTTTTTTCAGTTACGGTTATCAAAAAAGTTAAAACTTAATTTCTTTTGTTTCAAAGAGTTAAATATTTTATATATTTAGTTATTATTATCTTTAAAACAAAATAAAGGCCTTAGGATTATCTAGGGATGAAATAAGCTATTCTTTTGAAATTTTTAACATTTGATAGATCATACTTTTTATAGAGTATTCCACCTCTAAATTAATATGGTTTTAAGCATAGAAATGTCAATAGTCAATTTAAAACTAATCTTTGTGAAAAAGTAAAAGTAGACACGCAAACGCCCAACTCAAGGCCGGGGCGCGAAATTCATTTATAACAGAAATGGCCGTTCTCACACTAGAGGGATCATTCGTGTGAGACGGGTTATCCGTCGCCTCACTTTATCCGTCAATTTTGACGAACTTTGAAGATGGATTATCCGTTTCAGATACCCTGTGTACAGCCGCTCCCTCCCCTCAGAAAAAATCGGAGAGGGGGTGACTGTGGGTGAGGGGTTGACTGTACACAGGCTTGTCTAAGACGGATAATCTATTTCTAGCTCTAGTGTTAAAACTGCCAATAACAAAATTCCCGTGTCCAGTAGCGAAGGACTGTGCCGTTGTCTTGTCCACAGGCCTCATTATTCCGCGCGGCTAATGCGTTTCGGGTCACGTGGTCCGACCGAGTGTTTTTTTCTCAGATACGCCACCGAAATGTCTTGACCGAGATTGCGTGGGAAGACACCGTACAGAGAATAGGCATGGCAGAGAAAAACAGGGAATTGTTGTTTGTTTTACAAACAGTAACATCTCTGCGTGTTGTTTCACTAGTATTTCGAAGGCATAACCTCCTGAAAATCACAAATATTAATTAATTAATCCCCAACAAGAAGCTAGATATTTGCTATGGAAAAAACTTGATTATTCGAGAGAGCGACGGAAATGGAGCCTAGGTCTAGGTCAACACCTAAAAGGTGCTTGGCCTAACCGGTGCGTACGGAGTCAAAAGTAGCTAGCCGGGAAATAAAAAACGCAACCATAACCTTCCTTAGAATTAACAAATCTACGTAACAATTTCTTTTACGGTTAACTCTTTTTTACCCTATTTACGGCTAACGGTTAAAATTTTTCAATTTTTACGGCTATCGACTAAATTTTTGGCCGTTTTACGCCTATCGGTTAACCCCATTGAGACCCTCTTGAAGGGATCCTAATGTAAATGACCCTAAATAAATACGTTTTACGAGGGTCTCAATGGGGTTAACCGATAGGCGTAAAACGGCCAAAAATTTAGTCGATAGCCGTAAAAATTGAAAAATTTTAACCGTTAGCCGTAAACAGGGTAAAAAAGAGTTAACCGTAAAAGAAATTGTTACCTAGATTTGTTAATTTTAAGGAAGGTTATGGTTGCGTTTTTTATTTCCCGACTACTTTTGACTCCGTACGCACCGGTTAGGCCAAGCGCCTTTTAGGTGTTGACCTAGACCTAGGCTCCATTTCCGCCGCTCTCTCGAATAATCAAGTTTTTTCCATAGCAAATATCTGACTTCTTGTTGGGGACTAATTAATTAATATTTGTGATTTTCAGGAGGTTATGCCTTCGAAATACTAGTGCAACAACACGCAGAGATGTTACTGTTTGTAAAACAAACAACAATTCCCTGTTTTTCTCTGCCATGCCTATTCTCTGTACGGTGTCTTCCCACGCAATCTCGGTCAAGACATTTCGGTGGCGTATCTGAGAAAAAAACACTCGGTCGGACCACCTGACCCGAAACGCATTAGCCGCGCGGAATAATGAGGCCTATGGACAAGGCAACGACAGAGAGTCGTTCTGTACAGTCCTTCGCTACTGGACACGGGAATTTTGTTATTGGCAGTTTTAACACTAGAGCTAGAAATAGATTATCCGTCTTAGACAAGCCTGTGTACAGTCACCCCCTCACCCACAGACACCCCCTCTCCGATTTTTTCTGAGGGGAGGGGGCGGCTGTACACAGGGTATCTGAAACGAATAATCCATCTTCAAAGTTCGTCAAAATTGACGGATAAAGTGAGGCGACGGATAACCCGTTTCACACGAATAATCCCTCTAGTGTGAAAACTGCCATTTCTGTTATAAATGAATTTCGCGCCCCGGCCTTGAGTTGGGCGTTTGCGTGTCTGCTTTTACTTTTTCACAAAAAGATTAGTTTTAAATTGACTATTGACATTTCTATGCTTAAAACCATATCAATTTAGAGGTGGAATACTCTATAAAAAGTATGATCTATCAAAAAATTTTCAAAAGAATAGCTTATTTCATCCCTAGATAATCCTAGGGCCTTTATTCTGTTTTAAAGATAAAAAAATACATGTTTAGTAATATTTAACTCTTTGAAACAAAAGAAATTAATTTTTAACTTTTTTGATAACCGTAACTGAAAAAAATTAACCGATAGCCGTAAAAGAGCCAAAATTTTAGCCGATAACCGTAAAAGCCACCACCCCATTGAGACCCTCTTTTACTAACAGTCATAAATGCCACATGTTAAATGTACTTTTCTTAGGTGTCCTTTTGTTTTGAGACTGCACCCTGCAGTAAAGTTAGCAAAGCTGTATTCTGCAGTTGCATTTGCTGAAGCAGCTGCTCCTGTTGTTTCTGTTGGCTTTTAATGCTTTCACAGAGCATCTTTGTAAGATTCCCCAGCTGTGTCATAAGACCCTCTTGCTAGACTTCCTTTTCAGCAAGCTCCGCCCTTCTCAATTGCAGCTCCTCCCTCTTTAGACTTGCATCTAATTCAGCCCTTTCTCTTAAGTAGGCAACAGTTTCTGCGCCAGTGGATCGTTTGGATTTCTTTTGTTCTTGTTCACCCTTCCTCTTTTTGCTCTGGACAAAAGTCTCCATTGAAGATTTTCGCATTTCTACTGCCTTTGCAGTCTCTTCATCAGCCTTTCCTCTCTTTTCTGCATCCTGTTGCTGGTCTTCAGCATCTTTCTCTCTAAAACGTTCGATTATGTCGGCCATGGAGTCATCAAATGATGTATGCACTGGAGCAATACACTGGCTTGTTCTTCTTCTCTTATTTTCTTCTTTTGCTCTTTCTCTAGGAAGATGCAGTGATCACGTACTGAATTCTGTTTTACTGTAAACTTGGGAGATTCATACTGATTGAGGGAGTCACTTATTCTTTCCCAAACTTGGCCCCTTTGTTTACTCCCTCGTTTGAAATTCCAAGGTTCAAACAGGTACATTTTTTGCACCAACACTTCATTGTGTTTATTGGTCCACACCATAGGCTTTTTAGCACTACAAATTTTATGCAAATATACTGTTATGAGATAACACAGAGATATTTCATATTTTTACATCTCACTTTAATGTCATCTACTGTGGAAAGCTTGAAGGCCATGTGTGAGTTAAAAGACCTATCTTAGATTCATGGATGATCCATAACTTTCATGTAACACTCTTATTCAGAGATATTTGACATCACTGCTGGGTACACAAAGAAATATTTTAAAAACTTAAGTTGTCTATCTTCTAGATATCACGGACCATTCTTACGGGGATAAATAGTGAAAAAAAACGGTCGATTAAAATCTGGAGCATGATAACAACAACTGTGAGTTCAAGTTTACATTTAATTTAAACTAAGGGAAAGTTCATTTAATATGACAAGGGGGGGGGATGAAGATATTGAAACTCGAAGCTTGAAATTTTAGCAGCCCCCCCTCGGTAGCGGTTAAATTTTTTAGAAGCCCCCTCCTTGGTAGTCGAGAAAATTTCAGAGCCCCCCCCTCCTCCTTCAATTCCTTTGCTCCCCTGAAAAAAGATCGCTAGACAGTATTAAATATATTTACCGTTATTGTCTTCAATGGTTTATACTATGACAAACTTGAGATACAGTTGTGATACAATTTTCTAAGGCATTTTTAGGATGAGCAAGAGTGTAATAATTACTGAGACTACATTTGTTATATCTGTAAACCACGTGATATAGCTGAGTTGCACAGGTCATTAAATTGTTGAGTTGAAAACCATCCGATCTGTATGATGATGTCATGTGTTGGTTTTGAAGTATACAAATTTTCGGAGCCCCCCCTCCTAGCGCAACAATTTTTTCAGAGCCCCCCTTCGGGTGTCTAAAAAATTTTCGGACCCCCCCCTCAATATCTTCATCCCCCCTTGTCATATTAAATGAACTTTCCCTAAAACGCCCTAACTGTAGCAAAAGTTGATTACAACTTTTAAATAGACGTTGTCTAAGATGGAAGCAAAGTAATTTTCGCTGTCCTTTTCAAATGTTTCAGTTTTTGGTATTCATGAATGTTTGTAATCAATGAACTGAATCCAAAAGCAATCCAACAGAAACACGTCCAGCAGCATGATAAATCGACGGCTGTCACTCCGATAACGAGCAGAGGAAAATTATAAGCTTACAGTATCTTGAAAACTTGAGTTAAGTGTTTTAAGAAAGAATGAAAATATCGAAAAAAGAGTGTTGTTTTAAAGACGATCAAGTCATTGGTTTCTGGCGTAAAATTTCATTCTATTCTGTGCAAAATAATGAGATTTAATTAAACTTATTCTAACATAATTTTGCGAGCGGGATAAGCCGTAAAAACGACATCAAAAGTGCATTTGTGTTTACAACATAAGATAAAGTCTACCCTAATGAGTCAGGAAATCTAATTAAAAATAGGGTTTGGCTCACAAAAGGAAGCAAAATTTCGCAGAAACTTACTTTTTTGAACAGACTTTGTCTAAAGCCTCCATTTTCCACGACGCCTCCAAAGAAGCAGATCTTCCCGCCTCGCCGTCAGCCGACGCTGTCACGACACCACAAACGCATGCGCAATGGTGAACCTTTGGTCACGGCGTCGCAAAATTTTCGGATCGTAAACTCCTTACTATCTCATATCCAACGCGCCCTCGTGGAATAATTGTTAACTATACTATACCATACCATAGCATACCATACCATACCATACCATACCATACCATACCATACCATACCATATCATACCATACCATACCATACCATACTATACTATACTATACTATACAATACTATACTGTTCATCTCATTGCAAGCACAAACGACTACACAAGCTGGTTTTGCCAGTTCAATTCTTCTTTGAAGTTTCTTAGGTCCAACGTAGGGATTTGCTATAAGGTAGACACCCCCTGCAGAAACTCACTGTGTCTGTCAAGCGTTTTTTTAATTGATGAACGCTTCGGATTTTGTAATCAGGGTAGAAGCAGGAAGGAGAACTTCTGAATGCCAGTGAGAATAAAACTATGAAAAGACGTTATTTACGACATCGGAGAGTAGTCCAATTCCTTTACATGTTAAGATACATATTGACATTGCTGTATACAACCCGCAATAAATATACGATCAATTCTGTTCGAGACCAGGAAGGCCAATAGGTGGTCTTTGTGTACATCGACGATGTTTGTATATTGCAGACATTGCGCTCCAGGCTTAAACTGATTTAATCCCAACAAGTCAAATCGTCACGAGACGGGTGCAGGCTTTATCGTGGTCAAACGAGAACTAAATCAAGTTCGACGCAATAGCCAGCCCTGGTCCCACTGCAACCCTGCAGTTACTGCCGGATCCCAATGCAGTCTTTTCGGTAGCGTCATAAGTCACAATGATGATCCTTAGCTTCAGAGGGTCCAGTAGATCCAAGAAGCCACCAAAATGTCACGGACAGTTACTCTTGAACATTATTTGATGATCGCTTACTTTTGTTGATCCTTTAGTTGTTGTACGGGAAGGACAACATATTAGGAAACGGTAGGAAGGGGCAGTGTCGTTAGGAAGCAAGCCGTTATTTCCACAGCTATAAAGACCCTCTCTTTAAAACTGTTTCTGATAACAAGGAACCTATTTTCAAGGATTGTAGGGACATGTTTTCTAAGGTTTCAGGGTTTCTTTGAAAAAAGGATTTCAGTGGTACAAGCCTGTATGATAGTGTGTTTGTAAATCGCATCATATCACTGCCATTGCTGACTTGCTTGAATAGATGGTCGATAGGAAACTAATACCTGTTTTCAAACAAGTCACCTGCATCAGAATGTATTCAGGAATCCTGGGTAAAATTGCCATCACTCTGTCACCAGTTTTAATTCAAGTATTATAAAATATCTGAATTCTTATTATGCATTTTATGGAGACATTTTGCACTACCAACAGATGGAGTATGCTCTCTAGGTGTTGACGGATACGAAGACTAAAGAAACAAGATGGACGCCACGTCTTACTACACCCCCAAAGTATGCTGGGAATATGATGTAACACAGGCACGTCATCTGTGCAAATTTCATGGAATAATTAAGGCCACAAAATCGAGCACAGTCGGTTAAAAATGTTTGATATTTTGTGGCCGCTAATCATTTATCATTTAAATCTCCAGATGTTTTGTTTCTTACTTTTTAGACCAAAAAGCGACATCTTGAAAACTCCACTTGACTTCATTTGTGTTGCCATCAATCCACTACAGAGCTAAGGTATCACTATTTTTTTTGCCTTCGTGCATTTTAAAATAGAACCATTTGACATCGACTCCTTTTACTAATGCTAACATTATTACACATAGTAATTATCTCACTCATCTGTTTTGTGACCAATGTTTCACCCTGCAAACATAGCCCCTTTCTCTTCTTGAGTGAGGAGGAGAAAAAGAAGCTCTGCATAAATAGTATAAATTAAATAGTGTCAAGTTTTTGCATTCACCGGCAGCCCTTACCTCTGGACTAGACATTTTTTTTTCTCGTCAAACCGTTCCCTTTAAATGCGAGCATTCGTTTATTGATAAACCGATGGTCTTAATTGAGACCGCTGTACCGAAGCACACGGGCATTAGGCATGGGGCATCCTCGGAGGGCAGTCAGCCGGGGTCGGGAGAAAAAGTGCGACGAAAGTTTTCAAGCACAGGCGTAAGAGTACCTGGTACCGACTCTTATCAGACCACTTCCAAACGCTCAGGCGAATGCTGGCTCCTGATTGGACACAACAAATGTTTTGTATTATATTGCTCAATCGGCGAACAGTATCTCCTGAGTTCTTTTCGTGTGCGCATACACGACGGCGATTGTCACTGCTAGTTTCTGACTTTATAGTAAGGACAATGATGCCTGGCTGGAAAAAAGTTAACTTCCGTTCAACAAATTGGGTGAAACACCAATTTCAAAATAATTTCTCAAAACAATAAAAAAAAGCATTAGCGCGAATTTCTGTATGACCTTGAAAAATGGTTTCGGTAAGTGTTAGTTATTTATTTGATCAGACAATGGATGAAGAGATTAAAACATGGACTCTTCGTTTTCCCGCCAACGAAAACCCTAATTTGGAGAAGGCATTGTTCCATTGGCCAGTCGTGTTGCAGTATGACGTCAAAGCGAAGTATCGGGTTGATTTCTAGAAAGCTCTCTGGCGTGACGTTTTTACACCCGAGCGTTCGCTTAACAAACCAAAGGCCACGCGCGTTTGTATCCGCTCGATAAACCAATAAAATCGCTTTATTCCCGTTTGTTTGTTTTTTCTGTTTTGTTTGCACCTTTTCATTTCAAGGTCCTACAAAAGTCGCTCTAATAACACAGCAAATACAAAAACAGGCACGGATGAAACGGATTGATATTGAAACACTGAATTGTAGGTTTTTGAAAAGTTGTTAGCCTAACAGTTTTTCAAAGTTCATTTTTGTTGTTTGTAACGGTTCATACGATGCTTAGGAGGTATATTTGTTGGTCAAGAAGCTGTGATTTTGTCATTTACAAGTAATTTATTTGTTAACGTTATGTTCCATAGTCCGCATACTGGAAGTGTAACAAAACTTTAATGTATCGACCATTAAACGGCAAGGGTCCAAGCATGGTCCCTTGTTGGACCTCTGCTGGAAAAAAACCCATTTCGCCTTTCCTCTTTTGCGCTGTTTAGGACAATCGATGATTCTGAGGCCACCGGCGAGGATTTTGTGATCTTTTACATGGAAGGCCTTTTCTTCAGTTGAATAAAACAATTCTTACAGTGGGGTCAGATCCACCAATTTGTCTGGTTCAGAAGAGAAGCATTTTGAGAAACGCATGCGTGTTAGAGGTCTTGGGCAAGGACTCAAACTGGCTATCAACTATTTTTCTCAACATAGCTGGTCGTACATGCTTTAAGAGTTTTAGGCTTTTCAGATAAAAATGGTGTTACTGTTATAGGGCCGCAAAAGTCTTCACGTCCTTCACCGGCTTTTGTTTCTCTGAGGCCTGTTTCAAACGTTGTGCTACTGCCGTGTTAAGCTGGCTCGACTGTAGCTCGACTACAGCACGACACTAGCACGACTTGGTTTCAGACTTTATTTAATTCACACAATGACAGTCGAATGGAACGGCTGTTGTCAAAAACAAAACCCAAAAATAAAGAAACGGTTTAGCAAACTTTTAAATATATTCTAATGTATTTATAATTTATGAATAGAGTTCGGCACGGCGGTAGCACGACGTTTGAAACTAAGTCGAGTTACTGCCGCGTAGCACGGCAAGCCTTGCCGCGCTACACGGCAGTCACGACTTGGTTTCAAACGTCGCGCTACTGCCGTGCTAAAGTCGAATTTAATTCGATCAATTGAGTTCGGCACGGCAATAGCGCGACGTTTGAAACGGGCCTGAAGGGATCTACCATAATATCGACATTCTTTCCCTATAGTCATCTAGGATGAAAGATTCAAGTATAGACTGAACGGGCGCTAAGGGCGGAACAGTTGTCTAAAAGTCCTTCTTGGTGAAAAAAGACCTTTTTGATATTTTTGGCAAAGGTCAAACCGTTAGACTCTTTGTAATCCGATCTACAGGTCTTATGCTCACATTTAACGTGATTTATATGGAAAAGAAACATAGTAAGGTTTCTTTGACCAAAGGCCCCATTAAAGTCGTTTGATAAGATTTTTAAAGTTGGATTATTTCATGGATTGATTTGGATCGTTGAGGAGATCGCATAATACATCCTTGTTTAGATGATTGTCTCAAGGAAGGACCGTGACTTTCTCGGAACAGGTGTTCGCAGTGCACATCTGACAACCTCCTGGAGGAAAGGTCGCATAGCGAAGCGGTTACTAACCCATAAGTCTCTTTTTTTAATTTTTAATTTTAAAGTAAACCGTAAACCGCGGCTTGCAGCTCTACCGACAGATGGTCCTATAAACCATGCGGGGGTCGTTGAATGGACTCTTTATGAAGGTTAATGTGGAGATTTATCAACACTAAGTCAAGAGTCCCTATGCCGCGAGTCGGAAATTCACAGTCTGTTTCAAGCTGTCGCAGGTTATTCCCTGACCATATCGTAACTAAAATTCCCACATAATCAATTTGCAGTGCCACACGGTATTTCACTTCCGTGTAATTTAGCTGATCAACTAATTATAAAGGGCAAGGAAAAATTAATTTATTTCCATTTTTTTTGTTGTTACAACTGATTTAATTTAATACGTACACAAACCGAAAGTAGCACAGGCTATTCGAGGCGAGTTGTTCAAGTATAATTAACTAGATTATTAAATTCTAAAAAAATATTACAGAAACGTAGGAAAACGACAATGATGGAGGCCGTAGAAGAGCAGGCAAAAAATTTAACATGAAAAGGGAATTCTTGTTTAAAAAGGGAGGATGTATAGAACAGACTAGTGCGAGAAGTCCGTTCTCTCTTTTGTACTTAAATCATACCAGTGGAATGTAAAGGCGATCTATGTAGTACGTTCATATCGACCTGTTGTGGAATGTCT